GAAGAAGAGCAGCAGGCAATGTTTTGGGAGAACTTGAAAGGAGCATTGAAGTCATAGAAAAAGTCAGCAGCATTTCAGTATTATTTCCACAAAGGATATATGTCACTGTTTCTCCCTGCTAAGAAATTTTTCTTTCTTATTTTTCTGCCTAATGAGAACTTGCTTCACTGTGTAGAAGTAATTAACCTACTAAATTAGAAAGACCCAATTTAGGCTTTCCAGAGATTTGATATTCTGATCTTTTTAAATCCCTGCAAATAACTATTACGTTTGGAAGCCATGTTGGACTTCATGTACTTTTCTACATACATGTAGCTGAATGTAGGTAATTTCATGTTACCACATCCCAAATATTCTTAACAATGCCATTGTAATTTACAAATGAAAATAAAAGCCAAGTGCTTCAATACCCCACCATGTCAGTTGTTCTCCTTTAATTTGTTTTCACTGCCATCATGCATAGCAGGGTAATTAAAATTTAATTCTGAAAAAAACCCTGAGGACTTACATTATAATAAGCCCTCCAAATCCTTACAGTTGATGTGCAACCCAAAAAAAATTATATTATTGAAAACATACCTCCATTTAAAAGCCTGTTATTCTGGCTAGTTGCACAGGGGTCTGTACCATGCACAGAGTGGGGATACTCAATACCTGTGAAAGTTGCATCCCTTGTACAATAATTATGGTGACATGCAGAGGCATTAAACCACTGTTGCTTAGTTGTTGTTTTCTTCCCTTAGAATTCTTTCTCCCTGTGAATGCTTTTCTGCCTCTATGGAAAGAGCTGAAGCCTTCCATTGGTGTGGTGCAAGGATGTGTTTCTGATGAGTGGGCTAGATGGTGTTGCAGGCTGGCTCACTTCTTGTTTCTGCTCTTCTACTTTGCACAGCGCATTTAAGAAACCACTGGACCATGCATCCCTTATACCTATGTACCTTCCTTTATAACTGATTCAGGAAATCACACTGATGAGAGGCAATTTATCTTTCTGCTACAGTCTAAGGTATCTCCTAGAACTACTGTATTGCTTTTCACCAATTATAAAGGGGACTTAGACAAGCAGGTGGATACAGATTTTTATATTAAGATGGCTGGAAATGCACTGTGAGTGCCTGGAGTTACAGGGATTGGTTTCTTGTGCTTTAGGTAGTCTTGTGGACACCTGAAACTGTTTCAGAGGTGATAAAGTTAGGTGTGGGTTTCTCTAACTTGGCACTTCCATGCTGCACTTTGCTTGTATTGCTGGAGCTTAGGTACAGGAGAGTCTAAATGAATCTTGAGTAAACTTTATACAGGCAATTATTTTGTGGTGAACTACCAAAGTGTTGTCATATGGACTAGTTAATTGAAAAATGGGAAAATTTCGCATACACACCTGTCTGTGTGGGGGTATATATGTATATATTCATATATGTGTGTCTCTGTGTAGATGCCTATGCGTATGTTCCCGCTGCTGTTTGTAAGTGCATACATAGCTACAGACATGAGCTGATAGTTTCTGTGGGTGTAGCCTGCAAACACCACTTTCAGTTCTACTTTTCTGTTGTAATTATATCACTAAGGTTAGTCCAAAGCCTGCTACAAAAAGATTTTTCTGTTTACTCTCTTGGAGAAGAACAGGTCACAGCTTAATCAAGGCTAAACTCCAGGTAAGTGTTGAGTGACTCATCTGATAGCAAACGCGGAGCACTGATAAAAATGATTAGGAGACTGTGCCTAGGGATAAGGAGGAAAATATCTCTCGCCACTCATTTCAAAGAGAGGGTCAGAGGCGGAGGTAGGAGATGCCTTGGCTTTCACACGGTATGCTCCTACTATAGACTCAGACTTCTATGGGTTGGCACATTTGAAAGAACCGTTAGTGTTACTGCTGTTACGCCAGTCAGATCACCTAGCTGGAACTTCCCCTGCTCACAGTGCCAAGGTGAAGACGGAAGGAAACAGCAGCATGAGAAGAAGGTGCCTAAAGAGCCATCAACAAGAGAGAGATGAAACATGACAGGTTAACTGGCATAGAGGCACCAGAGCTGGAGCTGGCATCCCTGGGAATCTCTTCTGCACAGAGGTGAGTTTGCAGGCAGGTGGAGGCTGGAGACACAGGCAGAGAGAGCAGAACTGCCACACCAGAGCGAGAAGCAAGGACATGGCATTGGGAAGAAGCTATCAGGTCTCTACCTCTCTTCAGGGGGGATACAGGGTACTTGGGGATGCTGGGCAGGGGCCAGATCCTGCAGGAGTGCAGGGCAGGAAGGGATTTCTGGCTGCTGGCAGAAGTGGAGCAGGCAGGTGCAATCACAGGCAGCTGGCCCTACAGATAGATTTTGATCAGCCAGGTTGCCTGCTTGTTTGTTTTTCTAACAGTGAGCATTTTGATGGCGACTTTAAAAATCCCACTTAAATTTGTTGCTTGTGAAAGTCATCTTACTCATAGCTTTGCTCTTGTGGCCCACAGCACTGTGCTATCCAGCCAGATTTGCAAGACCAAAAGAACCCTGTAGAAGAGCCTCAGCTGGACAGCAGGTGAGTGTGACTACAGTTCGCAATTCTTTGGGTTTGATTCACGTGTATAAATCTCTAGGTATCTAAACTGTGGTGCTCTATTTTAAGTTGATGGAGTAATTCCTCTTGGAGTTATCACATCTTAATGTGAGTGTCTAAGAGACATGACATGCATTGCCCGTAGAAATTATTTCTCTCTATTGATCCTGGAGAACATGGTAGGTGACAAGCTCAGCTATGGACATCTAAAAACAGGGAAGAGGAATGTGTCTTTCAAGACCCAAAGCTCTACATCAGAGGGTCATGGGTTAAAGAAAAATAGCATGGGAGGTCAAAGTGTTGATAATCCTTCAGATGGGAGGAAATAGAATGATTAAAAAAAATATCCACAACTTTTTGTCCTCTCCTCATATACCTCAAAATCTCAGCTAGTTTGTCCCCTTTTGAATAATTTCAAGCAATTCTGGCTAGAATTAGTGCAACTACAAAGGTAGGCCTTGTGGTATGAGCTTGTCTTCATCGGTCAGATATTGTAAAGCAAATTATAGCATGAATTCAAAGTACAGTAGATCTTTTGCACAGAGTCTCATTGGGATGACTAGAGGAGAAAGTACTCCTCAGTGAGCCAATCCAATCCAATTAACCTGATACCAAGGCCACAATAATCTTTGGGAAACTGGTTATTGGCCTCTTGGGCGTTGATTCATTCTTTTCACCCTCAGTAAGATACCTGCTGAGGTTGAGGTGTTTGTGACACACTGGGGAAAGTTATACTTTAAAAGTGGTCTTTGATCCTTGTCAAGAAAGCCTAAACAAAAACAGGGTTATAATTCAATAAGTAATAAGGGTTTTGAAGGGAAAACAGCCCTGTCAGGCTTCAAGAGTTGTTTTTCCACCTCCTCAGAGGGACAGAATAACTAAAGTTACATTGTTGGGAGTAAGGACAGCAAGCTCTGTAAGAGAAGCAGCCATGTCAAATCAGTATTATGGAAGGCACAACTGTGAGAAGAAAGAAAAGTGACACAAGATCCACAGATGTGTGTCTTCTCTTGTTCAGTCAGCTGATCTGATCTGATCTGCAGAAGGCTCCAAAAGCCCCTGGAGCTTCCACATGGCTGGGCCTGATCTTCTCTCTGCCACAGAGACACAAGGCAGAAAAAGGCACTATATCAGAGCAGAAGGCTATGGCAGTAAAAAGGAAGAGATAAGAGTCTGCAGGTTACAATGGTCAGTTCTCCCAGCTTAAGTTTCATTAGCAAGTATCAGACTTATGGCATGATAACATGATAACAATGGCCTACACAGACACCGAGGCAAATACTTATTTCCCTGCTCCTAGTACATTTACAATCTGAATAGCCAAGGGCAGATAAAATGAGGAAAGAAAGATTAAGAATAGACATATGCTTTAAATGAGTATTAAATGTGACTGTCATTATCTCCTGCAAGACCCTGACTCTTCTTGATGTAACCAGTATGGGAAACAGACAAAGGAGATTCCCTGTAGTAAAAAAATGAATATACAAAATAATATTCACAGATTCAGCAGAAGAAGATTTGAGGCAGGGCTGAGGAGGTGTGTAGGGGGACTATTTCCTAAACAGGCAAACGATCAGTTTAGTAACAATGTGATTATTCAGATGTTTACCTGAATTTGAAGAAGATTTGTGCAGCTGTTAATTGATTTGATAGTACTCGTTTCAAAATTAGTAACCGCAGGGGATAATGTGCATGGCATTTAACAAATGATTCTGGAATATTTGGTTACAATATGCCTTTATTTGTCTACCCTTTTTAAATTATGAACAGTGTTAAACCCAAATATATTTATAGTGCCTTCAACAGGACAAAACAGTAAAGGTTATGTTTTAGACATATCCAAAATGTACCTTCTTCAAAACAAATATTCATTTTAAATTTGCTCTGACCACATTCTACATTTTAGGCAAAATAATGACTACACACACCTGGCGAGTGTGGGCCATCTGCATGGTCTTAGCTGCAAATCTCTCTGAAGAGCAAGTGCTGGAGCACGCTTGTCCTTCATGTGATGCCACTCAGCTTTGCAACTGCTCTTCCATGGGCTTGGACTTTGTTCCGCTGGGGCTCACGGACAAACTCAGAGTGTTAGACCTGGCCCACAACAGGATAAAGCACATCCAGTCCCAGGACCTGCAGCAGGCTGTGAACCTGAGAGCCCTGCTGCTGCAGTCCAACAAGATCAGCTCGATAGACGAGGATGCGTTTCGCCCCCTTGGGAAACTGGAGGTCTTGGACTTATCAAATAACAGCTTGGCTCACTTGTCCCCTGCGTGGTTTGAGCACCTGTTTTCGCTCCAGCACCTCCATCTCCAAGGGAACTCCTACAGAGACCTGGGGGAACGCTCCCCCTTCTCTAGCCTGAGGAACCTGAGCTCTCTCCACCTGGGCAACCCGTGGTTCTCCACGATACGGCAAGGGAACTTTGAGGGCATTGAGCTTCTTGACACGCTGTGGATTGAGGGTGTCAGGCTCAGTCAGTATGAGCCGGGAAGTTTGAAATGGATTAAGCAGATAAATCACATGATCATAAACCTAAGAAACACTAGTGTATTCTCAGCAATTGTCAGGGACCTTCTGCACTCTGTCATTTGGTTAGAAGTGCAAAAAATGGAATTCAGTATACCTGCTGAAATACAACTATTAAGAGTCATGTCGTCCTCTTTTGCAAAGAAAATTTCTTTTAAACAGACATTATTAACTGATGCTACTGTGCCTGAGATTGTCAGCATTTTAGAAGACATGCCAAAATTACTTGAGGTGGAGCTGATAGACTGTAGACTCATGGGAACTGGACAGTGGAAAATACATTTTCAAGCAAACCAATCACAGACTATTAAAGTTCTGACAATAGAGAAATTATCTATAGAAGAATTTTATTTGTTTACAGATCTTAAGGCTGTAGAAGATTTACTATCTCTTCTTACCAAAATCACAGTTACAAACACCAAGGTCTTTTTAGTACCATGCAGGCTTTCACAAAACCTTGAGTCATTAGAGTATCTTGACCTTAGTGCGAATTTGCTTGGAGACCAGAGTCTGGAGCATTCGGCTTGTCAGGGTGGTTGGCCGTTACTACGAACTCTCAATTTAAGTCAGAATTCACTGAGTGACTTAGAAATGACGAGTAAAAGTTTGTCTCACCTAAGAAACCTAATTCTCTTAGATATTAGCCAAAATAATTTTGGTGAGATT